TAAGACCAATAAATAAGGTTTACAGAAGCTCTATTTGCAATAGGTCAGAACTGGAAACAACCCATATAATTTTCAATAGATGAATGAATAAACTGTGTTACATCCATACTGTGGAATACTACTTAGTAATAAAAAGGAATGAATTTCTAGAAAAGTAGATTAAATAAAAAGAGCCAGCCTCAAAAGATTATATATGAGTGATGACATAACAGTTTTAAAGTTGCAAAACTTCACACGAGTAGCTGGGCATTGGTTGCCAGGGCTCGGGGACATGAGAAGTTGGAAAGTAGATATGCCTATAGAAAGCTGGTATACTAGGTACTAGAGATGCTTAAGCTCTTCTGTGTCTTGACTGTGGTTATTGACACATGAACATACACAGGTGAGAAAACTATGTAGAACTAATACTTGCACAAACACACAATCGAGTACAAGTAAAATGAGGGCAATTTGATTAAGATAAGTGGATTGTATCAGTGTCAGCATTCTCATTGTGATATTGTGTCATAGTTTTTGCAGATGTTACATTGGGGGAAAATGTTTCTGTGATGTTTCTTAAAACTACATATGAGCCTACAGCTTTCTCAGTAAAGTTAACATTAAAAAGATACATACCCGGGCAAGTACAGAAAGCCAAAATTTTTAGAAAAGTCTGACAATACTCCTTTTGTGAGCTTAAAATTTCTTAAACCTGCCTCCTAGATCTTACCTGCTTTCTTTTTTTTTTCCTTTTGTGCATTTTTAATTGTTATTATAAAGGTAATGTATGGAGAGGTTACAATTACAGAAGTCAGATAAAAAGTATAGAACATTTCTTTTTGAACAATGTCACCCCTTCCTTTGCTCTCTCCCAGTTTTTCCCTCCCATTCCTAACCACAGGTTGTTCGTTTTCAACATAGTGTCTAGTGAGTACCACAGCTACATTTTTTCATCCTTTGTTCCATCATTTCTGTGTGCTTCCTTACCCTCCCAAAGACAAATGAAAGAAAATCAAGACAAAAGGAAAAGAAAACGAAAACAGCAACAAAGAAAAAAAAAACCTCATTTCCATTTCTTGAAGCACGCCATGTTCATTGCAGAATTATTTACCATAGACAAGAAAAATCAGCCCACATGCCCCTTAGTCGATGAATGGATCAAGAAAATGTGGTATATACATACACAATAGAATACTGCTCATCCTTCAGAAAGAATAATATTGTACCAGAAAAATTATATTGAGCAAAGTAAGACAGACCCAGAGAAACATAGAATTCATTTGTGGTAGCTAGAATGTGCCTATAAATCTATACACTGGATGGTTAAAAAACACAACAAACACTGAGACACGATAAATTATACAGGTCTCTAGGCATTCATACATAGTGAGTCCAAAGGAGGATACTCTTAGGAGAACACAAAGGCACAATACCTATGTGCATATAGTCTTATCTGCTTTCAATATGAGATTATTTTCTGAGAACCTTATGAAGTAGGTTAAATTGATGAGAATCAAAGTCACAAATTGAAGTAATAAAAAGTGTTACTCTTTATTCATACCCCATTCTGGAGAAGGTGCATTATTTTATATATGAAAGAAACAAAGAAACATGGTTTGGCATGATTGTGATCAAGAGGCATTGTTTATATAAGTAGACTTGTTAGAATGAAATTCCCTTGTAAAAAATAAAGAAGCATAGTCTGATCACCAACTTGGTTCCTTTTCTCAAGCATATTTACTTAGCGTTGCACTAGAAGTATCATTCATGTGTCACCCAGTTCATAGTACCACTGACTTCCATATGTGCCTGTTTTTAAGAAGTCCTAAGATGGTACAGGCCCTCCTGTCTTATTTTAAAGCTTTTGGTGCCTTGTTCACAACTGAGTCATAACCCAGTTTTCTGATAAATTGTTTGGTTGCGTTTTTTTTTAAATGCCTTGTGTTTAGCAATAATAGCATATATAGTTGTGACCACATTAAAAGTTATTAGGAATAATTTGGCCAACTCTACCTCATGTAAACTAAAAGAAGTCAATATTAGCCACATAATCATAATATGTATGCAGTAATAGATCACCAGATTTCAAGTCTGACTTCTACCATTTGATCTTAGATTAACTTTCAGAGGCCTAGTTTTCTTACCTGTAAATATAATCCTGCATATACATTCAGTGTCTTAAGAAAAAAGGAGGGGCAGTGAAAATTGCTATTTCAAATGAAAATGTAAAGTTAGTGGTATCTCTTTAGAAAGTCAAGCTTATGCTGTGTTTTTCATTATTTGCAGTATTGAATCAGGTTTCATTGTTTAGATGTAGAGGGAGGATTGTCATGGGCATTGTTAAGTGTTTATCAGTGTCACTTGATGCTAGTAGTAGCGTCCCCTGCTACCTTCCACCTCACTTGTAACAACCAAAAGTATTTCTAGAGGAATGAGGACGTAGCTCAGTGGTAGTTTTACTTGCCTTGCATGTACAAGAATCTAGGTTCAATATCCAGCAATAGTTTTTTAAAAAACCTCTAGATATAGTTAAATACCTCCTAGTGAACAAAATTGCCTTCAGTTGAGAGCCATTAAGTTATTGGGCTAAAATTGTTATTTGTATTTTGTTCATAAGTAAACTTCATATGTGGGTGTATAAATATTTTTGCAGAGTCAGGTCTACTCTACTAGAAGAATATTCTGTTTTCCTTTCAGGCAATTCCTATTTGTAGTTAGGATGCTTTCTGATAGCACTTGCTCTCAATTGGTCTGGAATGTGCAGCCTACTGCTCAATGAGCCTGATAAGAGTTCTACTGCCACAGATGAATGGAGTCTGAATTGTGGGTGTCTGAATTGTCTCTTCTGATTAGACACAGTGGGAAGACAATTTGAAGTAAGTTGGGAATTACCAACTTCAAGTTTATCAGATTTAGTTACATTTCTCTTGAAAGACTATAGGATTTGTGTGGAATACCAAAATATATGACCCAGGAATTATCTAGGGCCTTGAGGAGTCTCGGTAAACTTACTTCTCAAGTGAATTTATCTAGTACAGAGGTCTCTGCCAATCAGTGGTCATCCAGGGATTTCTTAACTTTATTTGCTTGCTTTTGAAAAATGGTATTATTTACTTGGAAAGTTTGTGTGACAACCAGGTTGAAGAAGAGGAATACCAAGATTTTCTGATCAGGTTCATTTTTTATCTGTCATGTCTACTAGGCATCCAAGTCAGAAGGTGAGCTAGACTATTGTAAATGTGATTGTGAGTAGAGATGAAACCTGAGGTAGATACAGTTGTTAGGAGTTAACAACTTAAGATAGCTGAGAGTACTTGCCTAGCCTTAAGAGAGTGCTTACCTAGCAAATGATCTCCAGCACAGGAAAAACCTTTAAAATACCTAAAAGTGAATTAGATCACTCAGTGGTTACAAAGAGGTAGGTGGTAGGGGTTAGCCATGGCTGCGCCAGAGCATACATAGGGCCCAGTAGGATGCAGATTCTCTGAGGAGATGGGGAAGGAAGGGAGGAAGAGAGAGCCAAGGCAGGATTTTGTTTTCTGTTTTTGTTATTGTCTCATGAAATAATTATCTTTTTCATGATTATTGACCATTTAATTTTCTTGAGTGAATTATCTTTGTTTTTTGCATACATTAATCATAATACTGTTTTCCCATTTTTTCTTTTCACTGTTGAGTTTAAAATGTATTTATATATTAGGTCTTTTCATCATAAGTTATTAATGTTACAATCATTTGCTAGCCTTTATCCTTTTTGTTCATGAATGGATTTATGAGTTATAGTGTATGGATATACCATAATTCATGTATCTGTTTACTGGCTGATGGAAATTTAAGAGAATCTATTATTGAGCTATACGAAGCTTTGGTGAACATTTATATACAAGTCTTTGTTTGAGTACATGCTTTTGTTTGTCTTGAGCAAAGATCTTGGAGTAGAGTGATTTGGTTCATATACAAGGTGTATGTTTAACTATGTAAGAAATTGGCAAGTTTATTCCTAAAATCATTTTTTTATTTTGTGTTTTCACTAACATAAATGCATGCGGATTCTGTTTCTTCTACCAGGGGTGGGGAATGTATGGCCCACAGGCTGCATAAGGCTGAAAAATCATTTTGTATGTAATAGGACAGATACATGTGCTACTTATGTTTCTCTTTGGCTTTCTGTGGCTTGTCTGCCTGTATTGACAATTTCATATATCTGGAAATGGCATGATCTACTGGCACCTTGCTAACACTTATATTTTATAAGTAGCCACTCTAAAAGGTGTGAAGAGGTATTATTGTGACTTTGATTTGCATTTCTCTAATGCATTTCTCTAAAGATGCTAAGCATCTTTTCATGTGTTTACTGACTATTTGTATGTGTAGACAAATACCTAATTCAGTCCTTTGCAAACTTAAGTCTGTTTTTTCCCCTGTACTTGAATTATATGTATTCTTTATGTCTTCTTATCAGTTATGTAACTTGCAAATAATTTGACCTATTCTTTGTGGGAATGACTATAATTTTCATAATAAAAGTTAAATTTATAGTACAGAAAGTACCAAATTTCAGTAAGTATACATTTACCACTTAGACACAGCTATTAACATTTTACCATATTTGTTTTATCTATATATACATGTGCATACCAGTTATATAATTGAAACATTTTGATGAAAATTAAAAATACTCTCACATTCCACAGTACAGAAGCTGGTAGGCCTCCAGAACCTTGTACATGGCTAGTAAGAACTGAATAGTGATAGGAACATAGAGCCTCACACTAAATAATAAAGGGAATCATCCTCATAGATAGGATTTGTGTTGATCGGCAAGCTTCTAATCAATCATCGGTCACATTGTTTTATGTTACTTTAATGTATGTTTAAAATTTGTTACAAATTCTCATACTTGAATTACATATTACTTTGGGATCTGAGAAAACATGAAAATCCAAGTGATACAAGATAAAAATTTTGCATACTTATGACAAGTACAAAGATCTGATTTGAGTATTTTCTTTATTTTACAGACTGAGACAACACTTGGACTCAGTTCATATCAACAGAAAAGGTAAAACTTATGTACTCAGTAAAATATACTTTCAGTTTCTTCTTTCTGCCTAGGTTTTTGTTAAATGTGTCTTATAAATAATATGTGTCATATGTGTCATATAAATAGTATTTCTAGTGTTATGTATGGAAAATCAAGTTTAAATCTGAATTTGCACATGATGCACTTGTGTAACATGGTATCTTGTGATAGCTTTCTGTTACTATAACAATTACCCAAGAAAACTTGTAAAAGTGAAAAACATTATTTGGCTCACAGTTTGGACATTTTGGTCCATAGATATTGGCCCCACTGTTTTGGGTCTGAGTCAAGGCAGAACATCATAGGAGCACAAGGTAGAGTAGAATTGCTCACCCTATCAACCAGGGAGCAGAAAGAGTGAGGAGGGGGCTTAGGTCCCAGAAACCCTTTCAAGGGCACCCTCCCACCCTCAGTGACCTAAATACCTACGAAGGGTGTTTATTCACAACTAAAAATGCTCCTTGTCTTGTAAGAAAATCAGCTTTGTAACTTCTTAGTGACTTCTTTTGTGGCCATCACTGCTTTTTATGGAATGACCATTGCTACTCTCAACTGACCAGGGGGTCTCCCCAGAGGAGAAGTTCAGAAATGAGAAACCTGGCATTGTAACACAAAGAAACCTTTTAAACACAGGTTACCTGTATTAGTAGCATTTGATTTTACCTCATGTACTATTAGAAGGCACCTTCTCTGCCTCCCCATCACCAGGTTCTTTGGTGTTTTGGCTCCTTTTCATGTCCTTTAGAAGAAAAGATAAAAGGAAAATACTGGCCTGATTTCCTTGGCATTGTCAGTGAATGTCTGCTGCTTATACTTAATGGGAGCAAGGGCTTTAAAAACAAAATTAAACATCCAGTCTCTCCAGCAGCTGATTCTTTTGAATATATATTTGTGCTTGTACTAGGGCTTGAGCTCAAGGCCTGGGTGCTCAAGGATGATGCTCTGTCACTTGAGCCACAATACCACTTCTGGCTTTTTGCTGGTGAATTAGAAAGAAGAGTCTCACAGACTTTCCCTGCCTTGGCTGGCTTCAAACCATGGTCTTCAGATCTCAGCCTCCTCGGTAGATAGTATTACATATGTGAGTCACTTATGCCTAGCTCCAACAGCTGTTTTATGTTCACCTCAACTTTTACTGATTGCTTCCGTTGGAACCATAGATCTAAAGAAGTTCAGATCTCAGCATCATGGTATAGTTGCAGTTTCTGTATGCTGGCCATGTATTAGTGCAGTTAGATAATTAACCCATTCATAGACTTAAAAATTCAATTACTTTATAGTTCATGTTTTTAGGAAAATACTCTGTCAGTCTGTTCTTAGAATGAGAGAATAGCAAATTTGTCTTTAAAGATTCAAGTGGTAGAGCACTTGCCTAGCATTCACAAAGCCCAGAGTTTAGTCTCCAGTATAACTTCTCCCAAATATCAATAAATAATCTGATGAAATCAGGCACGTAACTGTGAAAGTGGCTGAGGCAATACAAGAAGCTGTTGCCTCTTGTTTTATCACTTAGTTCCATTTGGACTTAGTGGGAGTAGAGAAGCTCTTTCTTTTTAATAGACCTGGATACATAAAGTACTTTAGAGAATGTCTTTAGATCAGCAAAACACAGGCTGTATCAACAAAAATTTTGTTTTGAGAGAAAAATGTCAAATTATCAGATTAAAAATAAGGCAATTAAAACTTCTTTCATTGTAACAATGAAAATCCTTCAGTATTCAACATGTTTTTCTATTTTGAACCTTTCATACCTGTAATAACTCCCTCTCCTTGTTGTACAGTTTGTTCTTTTTATTGATGTATTTTCTCAATATAATGAATTTCCATATTTGTATAGTAGGTATGTTCTCATCTCATGTTTTACTATTATTCATTATATTTGTCTGACTACCTCAGAACTTGGTGGCACTGAAGTCAGAAATTCAGGAAGGGCACAGCAAAGATAGCTTGTCTCAGCTTCATGATGATCAGGAGCCTCAGCTAGGGAAAAACCAAAGTTGGGAATGACATGGTAGCTGGGAGCTAGAGGCCTGAACACTTAAATGTTGTTGCTGGCTTGTTAGCTGAGATTTCAGTTGGCTGTCTCCTGCATGCCTATTTGGAGACTTCTCTATGTGTTCTTTTCACATGGGCTAGTTTGGGTTTCCTTACAGTATGATGGGTAGAATTAAGAGTGATTGTTCCAAAGAATAAGCTGTATCTTTTGTGACCTGTCCTTGGAAGTTGTGATGATACTCCTGTTATAGGCTTTTAGTTACCCAGTAACATTAAGTACGCAAGAATTTGGGGCAGGGATAGAGAGAAGAGACCATCACTGATTCAGTATTTGCTAACATTTTAGAATACACATTTCACATTTCATATGTGTCCAAGGCCACATGTTTGTTGGACAAACATTAGCTTCAAATTGGTATGCAATTTACTGTGAATATGGCACTTGATTAGGGACCAAAACCTATGATAGTCAATAGTGGGTACTCTAAAAATACAATAGATACTACAAACATTGCTTACAGTTTTCTATTCAGGGAAGTATGTGATCAAAGTTTTGGCCAATTAATTTCCTGGTAAGGACTCACTCACTTCTTGGCTTTTCCTCTTCTCACTGTGCCCTCACAGAAGATAAAGGGAAGAAGGAAGGACAGATTGACCGAGATAGAGAGTTCTTTGCTGGTTGTAGTTGTTGTTGTGGTGGTGATGGTGGTTGTGGTTGTGGTTGTTTTGCTGCTGCTGCTGCTGCTGCTACTTCTGCCTCTCCTTCTTTCTTTTCTCTTCCTCCTCCTTCTCCTCTCCCTCCTTCTCCTCTTCCTACTCCTCCTTCTTCTTCTTTTTGCTGGTTCTTCTTATAAGAACAATGATCCTATCATGAGGATCCATTCTATCCTCAACCCTTGTCTAAACAAAATTACCTTCTAAAGGCCCTGTCTCCAACTACCATTACATTGGATGGTGCCTGCCTTTCAACATACAAGTTTTGGAGAGACACACTTCAGCTTGTAGCAATATCTAAGTCTAATTTTAGATTTTATGCCTCATGTCTACCAACTAAGAACTATTTTTATGGCTTATGCTCTGTCATTTTAAAGTATGTATGACATAGAAAAGCAGGTATAGTATCGATATCAAGTGGCACATGATAATCAGAACATAGCCACTTAATCAGTTCTTTTTAGATATGACTTCATGGTACACAGTCCAAACACTGCTAGAGCTCTTCTTTAAACAGTAATTTTAATGAAAATATATGTAAAATACATGTACTCATATAACAACAAACATTGTTATCTTTTTTTGTGTTGAAAATTACTCTGTGTCCAGGTGCCAGTGGCTTACACCTGTAATCATGGCTCACACCTGTAATCCTAGCTATTCATGAGACTGAGATCTGAGGATCAAGGTTCAAAGCCAGCTGGGGCAGGAAAGTCTATGAGACTCTTATCTCCAATTAACCACCAGAAAACCGGAAGTGGCGCTGTGGCTCAAGTGGTAGAGTCCTTACCTTGAGCTGAAGAGTTCAGAGACAGTGCCCAGGCTCAGAATTCAAGCCCCACATCCAAAAAAAAAAAAAAATTACACTGTATAAGGTGAACAAATGCAGCAGCGGTACTCAGTAGACACTGTTGAGAATGAACTATACAACTTGTAGATGGGGATGGAAGAGGGGAAGAGCAAAGGAAGGAGTGATATTGTCCAAAAAGAAATGTACTCTTTACCTGACTTTGAAATGGTGAAATGGTAGTCCTGCTGTACATCACCTTAATAACAATAAAAAACTAAGGAAAAACTTATTCTATATAGCTATCAGAGTTTGAATTTGGATTTGAAAATTGATGAAGATGAAGACTATTATATAAGGTGGTTCTAATTGCAAAAAACCCTAAGTGAGTATCTTGTTGAGCCCTTTATTAAGCATATTAAGAAGATGAGACTTAAAATCAACAGATTCTTTTTTTGGAGGGGGAAGGGGGAGGAGTCCAGTCATGGGGCCTGAATTCTGGGTCTGGGCGCTGTCCCTCAGCTCTTCAGCTCAAGGCTAGCGCTCTACCCCTTGAGCCACAGCGCCACTTCCGGCTTTTTTCTTTTTTCTTATGTGGTGCTGAGGAATCGAACCCAGGGCCTCAGGCATGCAAGGCAAGCGCTCTACCACTGAGCCACCTTCCCAGCCCTCAACAGATTCTTATTCAATAAGAATTGTTTGTCTTCTGCCTGATAATCCAGTGTTTTAATCTCTGTGTAGTCTCACATTAAATGTGGACTCCCCTGAAATTCACTGAATTTTCCCCACTAACTGGTATTTGCAAAGCAGAATATATTATAAATAAGAAGTAGAGGGGAATTGTCAGCCAAGCAGCCCAAACAATCTGAGCAGGCAGTTGTGGGGGTAGTAGCAGAGTGGGTTGAGGCAGAGAGTACAGCACTGGCCTGTGGCCATCCACACTACGAAGGTCCCTTCAGTTTCTGGCCTTTGCACTGGGGTACCATTGCCTCTTGTCTTCTGAGTCCTAAGCCCCTGCCTGGGCCCACAGCTGCCCCACTGGCAGTCGCTCTTTTCTCTGGCCTCCAAATCCCTGCTTTTGAGTTTCCTTGGGGAGGGGGCCAGTAGGACTCCAATGAGGAGAACCTGGGGTCTGTATTCTTTTTTTTAAGAGGTCCTTGCAACCTGGGTAAAGTAGGAAAGACCCCACTGAGTTTGTTGGGACCATGACCTAGGAGCAGGACTTATGAAGCCAAGAGCTAGATCACCTGAGCTGCCCACCCCAGCTAGCACGTGCTGAGCTTTGTGGCGCAGACTCCAAGAAGTCAGCTTGAGGACTCCTGGTCCTCAGCAGTGATCACATCTGTTTGTGGAAGAGAAAGAGAATTTAATGAGTCATGGCTTGGGAAGAAGCCTCCCTCAAGGCATTGGAGAGTCTGATGACAGAATTTTTTAGGATTATAGGACCAGTGACAGAAAACATGCAATAGAGGAATTTCTTAAT